GGGTTCAATAGCATGGGTTTTCAATAGCATTGGTTTTTGTGGCTTGAATCAAAAGATTATATATGGGTTTCGAGCTCAGATTATGGTGTTTTTTGAGGTTATGGCGGAACTCCGACCCGATGGGGTTTAACGGACCTCGGATTCGGATTCAGCGACCCCAAAAACATATAATAAACATGGTCTGATCCCCAGGCCAAAGAAATTTTTTTTTTTGTGTGGCTGTGTTATTGATAGCAATGCTACATAAAAAATAAGTTGCTTTATATATCATATTTAAATTTACACATTTATTACAATAACTTCTTTTGATTCTCTCGCTCTGGCGCGCTTGTGACAAAATGTAATCGCTGTGGATTCAACGCGTTGCTGACAACTTGACGCTACCATACAGAATGCTTAGGACACACAATATTATATTTTCTATTTTCTATTTTACTTGTGCAATAAAATGTAATATGATAATAAAGTATAGGCATATATACATATATATGTAGGTATATATATATAATTTATACACACATATATACGCTCTTCGTATGGCGTCTATTTTTCAAAGGTGTACGTATACGCAACGAAAGAATTAATTTAAAACGCATGATTCAACTTTCGACCAAGTACATTTCGTAGAGTTTTTGATCTTCCTTGTTATTGAACTTTGGAATAAAATTGATTTCTACTATTTCTTTGAAGCCTTCTTCTAAAGTTGGCGGCACATAATTTTTCCTACATTTGTCAAATAAAACAAAAATAATTGGAAAAATAGCAATCAAGAGTATAGAGCACGATGTTGGTTACACAAATTCCACTTACGCGTAAGAATTGATTACAATATCGTTGACCGGAACGTGACTGGAGTCCGTCAATGAGCGAAACTAATGTAAAAGTTAAACGTTTCTTATCATAAATCAGTAATTGATTAACGACCAGTAAAATATGTTAATTACCTTGATATTATGTTTCGCGTGGTCTATACTTGTCGTCATAACAAAACATCTCACTGGAATGTTGCGCTTCTTTGCTATTTCTGTATATCTCTGTCTTGTGGCCGGATCGGGATTAGTGTTATCTATGACTACACTCTTTCCTCGATCTAAATATTGCTCGGTTATAACGACACATTTCTGCCAGCTGCCTAAGATGTCTCTATTTACGTATCCGTATTCCTTTAAGTAATTTTTTACAAAGTGTGACTTTCCAGAGCCTGGACTGCCAACCATAAGCACTATCTGTTAGTAAAATAAATATTTTTATACATGTTTCTTATTAGATACATTAAAACTTTCTAGAAAGATAACTTTTATATAAAAAAAAGTTAAAAAACTGAGTTTGCTACTTCTTGTTCTTTCAGCATGAATTTGATAACATCCAAGTTGTCGATTGGTAACAGATTTTCTTTCGGGTTGAACATGGGTAAGTTGTAAGGTATTGATTTACGGTATTTTAAAAAATGTTCCTCTGGTGTATAGAATTTGAGATCCAGATTCAGTGCAAATAATCGATCCACGCACGAATGATCTTTCTTCTTTCCATGATCCCAGTTCTTTGGTCGACCAGCGGCATCACCGATGTAGAACGAGGTCAATTTGTCGATTGGTATACGTCCGTTTTTCTGTGTTTATATCGCGAATTAAAATATGTTAAATATTAACTTTATTAAAATTTAATTCTAATATATATATAATTAAATATATATATAACTAATATATATAACTAATACATGTATATATATACAGTGTCCAAAAAGTTCCGGGACGGTCGAATAACTCTTCAAGGAAGCGTTTTGGGAAATGTTTCAAACAAAAGTTTGAAGGATCAAAACAAGATATTTGATGGTGACCTTACCTTTGACCGAGACGTCAAATTTCAAGGTCATCTGAAGGTCAACTTAGAAATTTTAAATGACAACTCCTGTTTTTGACTCCAGAAATGAAAAGAGCAGAAAATTTTACGTTTAGATACGTATTCAGTTGTTCGGTTACAGTGAGCCTTAAAGGTTATTTGAAGATCAAACATTTAACGATCGCATAACTCTTCTAGAAAGCGTTTTCAGAAAAAATGTTTCAAACAAGTTTGAAGGATCGAAGCAAGGTATGTGATGGTGGACACCTTACCTTGGACCAAAACATCAAATTTCAAGGTCATTAGAAGGTCAACTTTGAAATTTTTAACGAGAACCTTTGTTTTTGACTCCAAAAAGAAGTCAAAAGGCTCACTGTGATCGAGCAACTGAATACGTATCGAACGTAAAATTTCCTGCTCTTTTCATTTCTGGAGTCAAAAACAGGAGTTGTCATTTAAAATCTAAGTTGACCTTCAGATGACCTTGAAATTTTTTTTTTTTGTCTCGGTCAAAGGTAAGGTCACTATCAAATATCTTGCTTTGATCCTACAAACTTTTGTTTGAAACATTTTTTCCCAAAACGCTTCCTTGAAAAGTTATTCGACGGTCCCGGAACTTTTTGGACACTCTGTATATATATTTTTTTTTTTTTTTTTTTCTACTTATCTCTCTAAATATATATACCTTTCTTTGCAAATAGTTCCACATACCGATTCTTGGTTTTCTATAAATGTTGTATCCTGCAGCGATAAAAACCTAAGAACAATAAAAAGTAAAAAATTGTCTCTCAAAATTTTGTTCAAAGTATAATATAATAATACAACAATCTTACTTGGATAGGAACGCCGATTTTCTTTACGATATTCTCGATTTTTTGTTTAAAATTATTGATGTTAACTTTGCCGGAACTCAAAGCGGCCTGATTTGTGAAAATCACTACTTTGTATCCGCACTCGTGAAGTAGTTTTAATTCATCGGGTATATGAGGATATAGTAATTCCCAGTCGTTATGATTCTTCGGAAATACACGACCAGACTTGGTTTTTATTAAAGTATTGTCCATATCATATGCAGCCACCTTAAAAGTAGAATTCTTTTTTTAACATCGCTCGATTACATGTAACAAAAATACTTTTCCATAATCTTAAAGGTATCAAACTTTTAAAAATATATCAAATTAAATAGATAACTAACTTATATTGAACAACTTATACTGAACATCTTAAGTGAATAATTACTTTGTCCTGATTTTGTACAGATGATAGTGTGTAAATCACTAGTTTTCCTTCATCAATACTCTCCCACTCTGTATTATTACTTGATTCAGTTATAATAGGAGAGTCGACAGCAGCAGTTGTCTGAGTGGAATCGTCACCCTTCGAAGAACATTCTTTTTCTTTTCTATTATTATCCAGTTCTTCATCTGAATTATGATGCAGTTTCAACATTTTTTTGTTACATTTAGCCTCATCCACTTCAGTTACATCTACTTCTTCTAGTTCGTAAGATCTCTTTTTTCTTTCAGAATCTTCTGTTTGTGGAGGCGGATTGAACTCAATCTCAAAAGCATATTTTCCATATAACAGCTCGACATGATCTGTATGTTTAGCCACAAATCTTATATTTTTTTCCATCTTAAATCCATTGAAGCCAGAAGCATGTGTGCCTACTTGCTGAACTGTGACAATCGCTTTTGCATAATTTCCACATAAACGGACTGTTAAAAACAAATTAATTTATTCATAATTTGAAGAATTAGGTACATTTATTAGTTTATTAACACTCTCATACAAGTTGCTTATGTTAATCACACTATTATAAAATATAAATATTCTAGCTTATATTGTAAAAACAAATATTCCTGTTTAAATACGATTTTTTATTTAAACGTAATACTTTAAATGTAATTCATTTTGTATGATCAGTAATTCAACTTATGTTCAAATTGTAAACAAACTCAAAAGATACGGAACCTTGCTGTCGTGAACATTTTGTGTCTTGGATGCCGGTTTCCGGCGAGCGTCCTACGAAAACCGGCTTGTTGTCTGGCAAATAGATATTCAACGAGGGTTTCTCCAAGCTGCGTATATAACAACTTTTTACACTTCTGCTCATTCCGCTCGAACAATAACAAATATCAATATCTCTGGAATGCTCTGAAATCAATCACATTCGCAGCCGATCAGTCTCCTGACCATAGTTGCAAACTCGAGCCGGCTAGCACCGAGCAGTGATGTGCTGTCGTGGGAATAAAGTTGCGTCTGCGCAATAGGCAAATGCAATGAATTCTCACTAACGTATATACTTCGGTCAAATATGAGGTATCTTTAGATCCCAGTGAGAAAAGAAATGTTAAAAAAATTGCAGAGAGAAAACAAATTTTGATTAAAAAAATAAAATACATTTAATATAAATGATAATAGGAAAATTGGAAATAGGAAAATTCGTTTGTTATATTTTACGTCTGCAGCCGATTTATTACATGAATGAATACCAACATTTGTTGCGAGGATAAGGAAACTGCAGAAACCTACAAGGGATCCTGTATTGCCGTAGAGTGTTGTAGATACGTCTATGGCAGCAGCCGACGTTTAGCTGTGACGTCACCTTACGCATGCGCATAGAGATTTCTGCATGGGAAAAAATCC